GTGTTGCTTCGTAGACGTGTGTGTTGCTTCGTAGACGTGTGTGTTGCTTCGTAGACGTGTGTGTTGCTTCGTAGACGTGTGTGTTGCTTCGTAGACGTGTGTGTTGTTTCTATCTGTGTGTGTTGCTTTGTAGACGTGTGTGTTGCTTCGTAGACGTGTGTGTTGCTTCGTAGACGTGTGTGTTGCTTTGTAGACGTGTGTGTTGCTTTGTAGACGTGTGTGTTGCTTCGTAGACGTGTGTGTTGCTTCGTAGACGTGTGTGTTGCTTCGTAGACGTGTGTGTTGCTTCGTAGATGTGTGTGTTGCTTCGTAGATGTGTGTGTTGCTTCGTAGATGTGTGTGTTGCTTCGTAGACGTGTGTGTTGTTTCTATCTGTGTGTGTTGCTTTGTAGACGTGTGTGTTGCTTCGTAGACGTGTGTGTTGCTTTGTAGACGTGTGTGTTGCTTTGTAGACGTGTGTGTTGCTTTGTAGACGTGTGTGTTGCTTCGTAGACGTGTGTGTTGCTTCGTAGACGTGTGTGTTGCTTCGTAGACGTGTGTGTTGCTTCGTAGACGTGTGTGTTGCTTCTATCTGTGTGAGTTGCTTCGTAGACGTGTGTGTTGCTTTGTAGACGTGTGTGTTGCTTCGTAGACGTGTGTGTTGCTTCGTAGACGTGTGTGTTGCTTCGTAGACGTGTGTGTTGCTTTGTAGACGTGTGTGTTGCTTTGTAGACGTGTGTGTTGCTTCGTAGACGTGTGTGTTGCTTTGTAGACGTGTGTGTTGCTTTGTAGACGTGTGTGTTGCTTTGTAGACGTGTGTGTTGCTTCGTAGACGTGTGTGTTGCTTCGTAGACGTGTGTGTTGCTTCGTAGACGTGTGTGTTGCTTCGTAGACGTGTGTGTTGCTTCGTAGACGTGTGTGTTGCTTCGTAGACGTGTGTGTTGCTTCGTAGATGTGTGTGTTGCTTCGTAGATGTGTGTGTTGCTTCGTAGATGTGTGTGTTGCTTCGTAGATGTGTGTGTTGCTTCGTAGATGTGTGTGTTGCTTCGTAGATGTGTGTGTTGCTTCGTAGATGTGTGTGTTGCTTCGTAGACGTGTGTGTTGTTTCTATCTGTGTGTGTTGCTTTGTAGACGTGTGTGTTGCTTCGTAGACGTGTGTGTTGCTTTGTAGACGTGTGTGTTGCTTCGTAGACGTGTGTGTTGCTTCGTAGACGTGTGTGTTGCTTCGTAGACGTGTGTGTTGCTTTGTAGACGTGTGTGTTGCTTCGTAGACGTGTGTGTTGCTTCGTAGACGTGTGTGTTGCTTCGTAGACGTGTGTGTTGTTTTTATCTGTGTGTGTTGCTTTGTAGACGTGTGTGTTGCTTCGTAGACGTGTGTGTTGCTTCGTAGACGTGTGTGTTGCTTCGTAGACGTGTGTGTTGCTTTGTAGACGTGTGTGTTGCTTCGTAGACGTGTGTGTTGCTTCGTAGACGTGTGTGTTGCTTCGTAGACGTGTGTGTTGCTTCGTAGACGTGTGTGTTGCTTCGTAGACGTGTGTGTTGCTTTGTAGATGTGTGTGTTGCTTCGTAGACGTGTGTGTTGCTTCGTAGACGTGTGTGTTGCTTCGTAGATGTGTGTGTTGCTTCGTAGATGTGTGTGTTGCTTCGTAGATGTGTGTGTTGCTTCGTAGATGTGGTGTTGCTTGTGTGTTGCTTCGTAGATGTGTGTGTTGCTTCGTAGACGTGTGTGTTGTTTCTATCTGTGTGTGTTGCTTTGTAGACGTGTGTGTTGCTTCGTAGACGTGTGTGTTGCTTTGTAGACGTGTGTGTTGCTTTTTAGACATGTGTGTTGCTTCGTAGACGTGTGTGTTGCTTCGTAGACGTGTGTGTTGCTTCGTAGACGTGTGTGTTGCTTCGTAGACGTGTGTGTTGCTTCGTAGACGTGTGTGTTGTTTCTATCTGTGTGTGTTGCTTTGTAGACGTGTGTGTTGCTTCGTAGACGTGTGTGTTGCTTCGTAGACGTGTGTGTTGCTTTGTAGACGTGTGTGTTGCTTCGTAGACGTGTGTGTTGCTTCGTAGACGTGTGTGTTGCTTCGTAGACGTGTGTGTTGCTTCGTAGACGTGTGTGTTGCTTCGTAGACGTGTGTGTTGCTTCGTAGACGTGTGTGTTGCTTCGTAGATGTGTGTGTTGCTTCGTAGATGTGTGTGTTGCTTCGTAGATGTGTGTGTTGCTTCGTAGACGTAGACGTGTGTGTTGTTTCTATCTGTGTGTGTTGCTTTGTAGACGTGTGTGTTGCTTCGTAGACGTGTGTGTTGCTTTGTAGACGTGTGTGTTGCTTTGTAGACGTGTGTGTTGCTTTGTAGACGTGTGTGTTGCTTCGTAGACGTGTGTGTTGCTTCGTAGACGTGTGTGTTGCTTCGTAGACGTGTGTGTTGCTTCGTAGACGTGTGTGTTGCTTCTATCTGTGTGAGTTGCTTCGTAGACGTGTGTGTTGCTTTGTAGACGTGTGTGTTGCTTCGTAGACGTGTGTGTTGCTTCGTAGACGTGTGTGTTGCTTCGTAGACGTGTGTGTTGCTTTGTAGACGTGTGTGTTGCTTTGTAGACGTGTGTGTTGCTTCGTAGACGTGTGTGTTGCTTTGTAGACGTGTGTGTTGCTTTGTAGACGTGTGTGTTGCTTTGTAGACGTGTGTGTTGCTTCGTAGACGTGTGTGTTGCTTCGTAGACGTGTGTGTTGCTTCGTAGACATGTGTGTTGCTTCGTAGACGTGTGTGTTGCTTCGTAGACGTGTGTGTTGCTTTGTAGACGTGCGTGTTGCTTCGTAGATGTGTGTGTTGCTTCGTAGACGTGTGTGTTGCTTCGTAGACGTGTGTGTTGCTTTGTAGACGTGTGTGTTGCTTCGTAGACGTGTGTGTTGTTCGTAGACGTGTGTGTTGCTTCGTAGACGTGTGTGTTGCTTCGTAGACGTGTGTGTTGCTTCGTAGACGTGTGTGTTGCTTCGTAGACGTGTGTGTTGCTTCGTAGACGTGTGTGTTGCTTCGTAGACGTGTGTGTTGCTTTGTAGACGTGTGTGTTGCTTCGTAGACGTGTGTGTTGCTTCGTAGATGTGTGTGTTGCTTCGTAGACGTGTGTGTTGCTTCGTAGACGTGTGTGTTGCTTTGTAGACGTGTGTGTTGCTTTGTAGACGTGTGTGTTGTTTCTATCTGTGTGTGTTGTTTCTATCTGTGTGTGTTGCTTCGTAGACGTGTGTGTTGTTCGTAGACGTGTGTGTTGCTTCGTAGACGTGTGTGTTGCTTCGTAGACGTGTGTGTTGCTTCGTAGACGTGTGTGTTGCTTCGTAGACGTGTGTGTTGCTTCGTAGACGTGTGTGTTGCTTTGTAGACGTGTGTGTTGCTTCGTACACGTGCGTGTTGCTTCGTAGATGTGTGTGTTGCTTCGTAGACGTGTGTGTTGCTTCGTACACGTGTGTGTTGCTTTGTAGACGTGTGTGTTGCTTTGTAGACGTGTGTGTTGCTTCGTAGACATGTGTGTTGTTTCTATCTGTGTGTGTTGTTTCTATCTGTGTGTGTTGCTTCGTAGACGTGTGTGTTGCTTCGTAGACGTGTGTGTTGCTTTGTAGACTTGTGTGTTGCTTCGTAGATGTGTGTGTTGCTTCATAGACGTGTGTGTTGTTTCTATCTGTGTGTGTTGCTTTGTAGACGTGTGTGTTGCTTCATAGACGTGTGTGTTGTTTCTATCTGTGTGTGTTGCTTCTATTTGTGTGTGTTGCTTCGTAGACGTGTGTGTTGCTTCGTAGACGTGTGTGTTGTTTCTATCTGTGTGTGTTGTTTCTATCTGTGTGTGTTGCTTCGTAGACGTGTGTGTTGCTTCTCTCTCTCTCTCTCTAAAGTGCTGATGTGTCCTTAGGCAAGACACTTCACACACATTGCTTAGAATGAGTGTGATGGATGTCAGTGTGCCCCGGGGCAGCCGTGGCTTCAGTTGTGGTTCATCACCTCTGAGTGAATGATTAACGACGTGTCCAGAAATACACTAAACCAATGATCTGCTGTTTCCAGGAAAAAGATTTTAAACATTTGTCTCTAAAGAAAGTATTGTATTATTTTACAAAACAAGGAGAAAATGGGTTTGAAAGAGACACGGTGGATTTTACACGGTTTTTATCTAGTTTCTTGCTCTCAAACTATTTTTACAAATTATTTTTCGATCACAGCTTTCGACCCATAATATAAAGTGGTACTTACTAACCTGCAAACTCCATAGGGAAGTGCTCATGCACAAAGTTTTGCTGTTGCTCGCTCTGGCTCCTGCTGACTTACATTAAAAATGAACTCCTCCAGCTCCGGTTTCTGGTTATTTATCTGTGGTTCTGGACTTTATTTTTTGAAATTGTCTTTTTAAATCCAAACACTCGGAGCCAAATACAAAACAACCAAAACCGTGTTTTGAGTGAATGGTTTTATACAGCGCTTTTCTGGACTCTCAAAGACGCTTCACATGTCATTATTCATTCACTCCAAACACGGTGGTGATAAACTACTACTGTAGCCACAGCTGCCCTGGGGCACACTGACAGAAGCGAGGTCCCTCCCACCACCACCAACCATTCACACACACACCAGACTCATTCTAATGGGGGTGAAGTGTCTTGCCTAAGGACACAACAACAGTTTGGCACTTTACAGCCGCAGCCGCCGCACTGTGGCACCTGCTGTTCCCAGAGGTTAAGTGTCTTGCCAAGGACACAACGACAGCAGGCAGTGGGAGTCGGTGGAGAAAGTCTCTAGGTGGACTCGAACCCACGACCTTCTGGCTCAAAGGCCAATGCTCCACCAACTGAGGCAACTATAATAATAGTGTCCAAAGATTGCTTTATAAAACCAATGCATCATTATTATTATTATTATTATTATCATTAATTCCATTGTGCTCTTTCAGTTTTTTGAAAACAAGACAGAGCCAAAGTAAAGGTAAAATCCTCTTTTGTTATTCCAGGAGCTGCTGTGTTCCTGCGATCAGACCCTCGTCCTCTGTTATCTGTGGTATGTGTCCGACCGTGGCGGTGAAGGATCACTCTGCAGCCGCGGCGAGTGCACGGCGAATAGGAAATTACTTAAGACATCAGTGTTTGGAGGCGGGAGAGGCCAAAGAACACACTGAAAAGAAAACCAACGTGGTGGATGTGGTGGATGTGGTGGATGTGGTTGGTGTGCTGGATGTGGTGGATGTGGTTGGGTGTAGTTGGATGTGGTTGGTGTGGTTGGTGTGGTTGGATGTAGTTGGTGTGGTTGGTGTGGTTGATGTGGTGGATGTGGTTGGGTGTAGTTGGATGTGGTGGATGTGGTTGGTGTGGTTGGTGTGGTTGGATGTAGTTGGATGTGGTGGATGTGGTTGGTGTGGTTGATGTGGTGGATGTAGTTGGATGTGGTGGATGTGGTTGGTGTGGTGGATGTGGTGGATGTGGTTGGGTGTAGTTGGATGTGGTGGATGTGGTTGGTGTGGTTGGTGTGGTTGGATGTAGTTGGTGTGGTTGGATGTGGTTGGTGTGGTTGATGTGGTGGATGTAGTTGGATGTAGTTGGATGTGGTGGATGTGGTTGGTGTGGTTGATGTGGTGGATGTAGTTGGATGTGGTGGATGTGGTTGGTGTGGTTGGTGTGGTTGGTGTGGTGGATGTAGTTGGATGTAGTGGATGTGGTGGATGTGGTTGGTGTGGTGGATGTGGTTGGATGTGGTGGATGTGGTGGATGTGGTTGGGTGTGGTTGGTGTGGTGGATGTAGTTGGATGTAGTGGATGTGGTGGATGTGGTTGGATGTGGTTGGATGTGGTGGATGTGGTGGATGTGGTGGATGTGGTGGATGTGGTGGATGTGGTTGGGTGTGGTTGGTGTGGTGGATGCAGTGGGAGCGGGTCCCGGCTCAAAAGTGTCCAAATTGACGTGCGCTGACATGCTTGCAATACCACCCCGGGCCTGTGGGGGTGGACCCAGAAGAAGAATTAGCCAATGCTAACATATAGCATTAGCAGACCTCTCAAAAACGTCTTTACAGGATGGTCCAAAAGTTGTCTCTTGGCCCAAAGCTCCGTTCCACATGTGTGTCAATGCTGAGGGAGTGTTCTGGTCCACTCTAGTTTACTTGCTGTGAATTTTTGAAGTCTCTCGTTCAAATGAATGGAGCTGCGCCGGCTGACGCATGCGCAGATGCGTTTTTTCACAGTTTTCTTGTGGGCGGGACCACTCGCGGCCATTTTGGATAGCTCAAGTAGAGCACATTTTTTGGCCCATTGGTTAGAATGGCGGAGATAGGCGTGACTCTGTCCGTTAATATATACAGTCTATGGGTGGATGTGGTTGGTGTGGTTTAAAGTAAATTATTGTTAAACAACATGAGACACCATTAAATCTCAATGTGATCTCATTCATCTTCTGATTGACTTCTCTTTTTCAAACACAGTCGCCACGGCAACAGGATTCACTGAGATCCTCAAAGTGTTGACTCTCAAACACTGTTTACTTTTGAAATATCTCCACTTGGTTTTGGTTGGGACTAGAAAGAAACCAGAGGAATCAGAGAGAGAGCAGAGAGACCAGAAAGAGACCAGAGGAATCAGAGAGAGACCAGAGAGAGACCAGAGGAATCAGAGAGAGACCAGAGAGAGAACCCATAGAGAGAGAGACCAGAAGAAGAGTTTACTCCTCACATCTTCTCAACAATGGAGTCTGTGAAGGACCCACTGCTGCAGCAGCTGAGGTCACATCTGCAGGAGACTTTGACCACAATGAAACAGTGCATTCTGAATCTGGTGGAGAGGTCTCTGCAGGGACTGGAGCCACAGGGAGGAGGACTGGAGCCTCTAAGTCCAGCTTCAGGTCTGGTTCTCTTCTGTTCACAACACAACAACTCTTCTAGATCTGACAAACTGTAGGTTTGTCAGAACCTACAGAACCATGTAATTGACTTATTTTAACTTATCGTAACTTAGCACGTCAGAGTCTGGGTTAACATCAATTCCTTTAGAGGATCATTGAACTGGTCATGGAGACTGTAGTGTTCTTAAGTTCTTCTTGTACCCATATTTACTGATGTCCTCTCAGTCCAGTCTTGCAAACACTTCTCTCTCTACAGATGCAGATGAACCTGTAGCTCCTCATTCAACTCAAGAGCAGGAGTTTGTGCTCAGACCCAGTGACGACAAGGTCCAGAACAAGTCCTTGGTGGAGATCGCAGAGGAACCTGGAGCAGACTGCGTTCAAGAGACGAACATGGTTCTCCAGGTGGATGCTCCAGACCCTGAGCCTGAAGGACCTGGACCAACACCAGACTCAACATCTGACGGAGGCAGAAGCGACAGAGAAAGGCAGCGTGCAGAGAGGAGGTGCCTCTGTGAAGTCTGCGGGGAACTGTTCCCAACCAAGTGTTCTCTCACAATTCACCAACGTGGCCACACTGGAGAAAAACCTTATCCCTGTGATGCATGTCCCAAGTCCTTCAGTCAGAGCAGTTCTCTAAAGACCCACAAACGCATCCACACTGGAGAAAAACCTTATTCCTGTGATGCATGTCCCAAGTCCTTCAGTCAGAGCGGTAATCTTAAGAACCACAAACTCATCCACACTGGAGAAAAACATTATTCCTGTGATGCATGTCCGAAGTCCTTCAATCAGAAGAATTATCTTATGAGGCACAAACTCATCCACACTGGAGAAAAACCATATTCCTGTGATGCCTGTTCGATGCCCTTCAATAACAGAAGTTATCTAAAGATCCACAAACTCATCCACACTGGAGAAAAACCTTTTTCTTGTGATGCATGTCCGAAGTCCTTCAATCAAAGAAGTAATCTAAAGACCCACAAACTCATCCACACTGGAGAAAAACCACATCCATGTGGCGTGTGTGAGAAGTCCTTCAGAACCAGAAGTCAAGCAAACCAACACCGTCGCATTCACCACGAGAGGAGCTTCAGTGGAACAGAACCAGGCGGAGGAGAGCCTACAGAGGGGAGAGACGTCATTCCACCAGATGATTTTTAGAGAGACTTTCTTTGATGATTGAATAAATGTTAGTTGTTTTCAAGCGCAGATTGAGACTGGTGTCTGTGTTCTGTTTTTGAAGATGAGATGTTTGGTTCTTATATGCTCTGCTAAAACAAACAGGATCAGTGTCTTTTCATAGATATATACTTTACTGGATCCTATGTCAGCGGAAAGGTACAATAAAAATCTTTAAAGCAGTTGACAAGTCTTGATCTTAACCCAAGAATTTTGGTAAGGATGACATTTTGAATTCAGAGAGAGACGACATTGTAATTCATGGGTTATTCATATATAGTTGTTTTTTGCAAAGTCAAAGGTGCAAATAACAATAGAAAATTTGTGAATAGTGTATATAATGTAAATTAAACACAATAGCAGACTCTTGTGTCTGAAATTAGACTTTAGCATCACTCCAGACAGCTCTGCAGACAATCACAACTTACCGTCAAAGTGTTTTGACAATGGACTTTAAATGTCCAGACAATCCACATATCCCTCTGGATAAAGCCAGTATTTACTTTAAGGTAAAAAAAAACTTCCAGAGGTTTTGAAAATAATCTTCTTTCTGAAAAGTTCTAAGGCTAGAGATGTCTTTGGTCTGGATAGTAACTTCAAAAAGTTCTTTGAGGATCCTTTGAAGGAGTTCTTTGAGGATCCGATGTGTTTTTAAAAGTAAACACACAGTTAGCATCTGAGCTAAAGGCTTTTTGAGCAGTATTTAAGACCTACAAATCCAGAGATATCATCTTCCCATCATACAGGCTCTTCCAATCCAATCCAATCCACTTTATTTCTATAGCACATTTAAACAACAGAACAGTTCCAAAGTGCTGCACAAAAAAGTACACAAAAAATAGAATAAAAAATAAATAAATAAATAGTCAATTTATAAAATCAATAAAAATCATAAAACACAAAACAAAAATTAAAAAGACACAGGGACCACACAACTCACGCGGTGTTAAAAGCCAGAGAATAAAAGTGGCTCTTTAGGGTAATGCCTTCAGGGAGGAGACTGCAGAATTTACGGAACAGTTCCAGTCGACTTAAAAACAGTTTCATTCACAAGGCCATCAGGAAGCTGAACTCCCTGCCCTCCCCCCCACCCCTCTTCCCCCACCCCCCGCTCCACAATCAAGGATGAGAGAAATATAATTTCAAACCATTCACTTGTTTTGACAAATGAAAATCTTGAAAAAGATGAGGATCCTGCCAGTCATCTAAAAAGTAGCTGAGAAATGGGTTGCATTGCAGCCAACAGACCATCTTATGGTTATCATACTGATACTCACCACAGCACATCCCAGACCATTTACACTGATTTCACATCATTGTATGAATAAAACGGTCAGCGGGCCTTAAACGTCTAAGCTGTGTTCTGCCTCCCCGTGAGCCAAGGGGAACGTAACAAGTGGGGGCTCGCCCGGGATCATCCGTGCGGTGACGCATACCCCCTAGACAAGTGGTCAATGTGTGTCCTGCGCTACGGACTCGTGGAACTTTCGTGATCCACTCGCTCTTGTCCTCTTACGCTATACGGACTTGTGGATCCGCTCTTGTCCGTTTGTCCTATTAACCTGTTTTGTGTGTGAATGAGCACTGCAGTGAAGTCACCAGCGGTGTCATTCATTCGGGAGCGCGCCTGGAATACCCCACACACACGCGGCTGCTCCACATTTTGAGATACACAGGTGAGTGAGATTCTTGTGCATAAGCGCTTCTCCTCATAGTGAGTTGTCCCTCAATCTGCGTAAGAGCATTATTTGGTTTTGAGGAGGGGATTCTTCCTCCCTTGGATCCTGTTCCCAGCGCTGAGCAGGAAAGGGAATTCAAAGAGTCTAACGCAAATTTGAGCTCCGCAGACTTGAATTGGAGGAGGCTAGACACGACTCAGTGCACGTGAGTGTCAGCCCATCAGGCGATAGAAATGACAATGATTTTGATGTTAATTAATGCATCCGTTTGACTCCACCCTTTTCTGAAAAAGACATTGACAATTACTTCATTTTGTTTGAACGACTGGCCCAAACACTGAAGTGGCCTAAGGAGATTTGGACCTTACTTTTACAGTGTGTTCTCTGTACTCTCTGCACTCTCGCCTCTCAGCAAGAAGGTCCTGGGTTCAAATCCCGGTCGGACCAGGGCCTTTCTGAGTGGAGTTTGCATGTTCTCCCCGTGTCTGCGTAGGTTTCCTCCGGGTACTCCGGTTTCCCCTACCACTAAAAATATGTACAATAGGTCTGGCATGCGCCTCCTGTTCGGCGACCCCGCTCCCATCTCTGTGTGGAGTGAGAGGACAAGTGCCCAAAAATAACAACTGTAAACCGCTTTGTGACTCTGGTCTGTGAAAGGCGGTATATAAATAAAGATCACTTACTTACTTACTTACTTACTTCTCACTGGGAAGGCTCAAGAGGCCTAAGCTTTGCTTTCTCCCAAGAGAAGCTTGGATTATGAGAGCCGCTGTTTTGAGAGCATACGAACTCGTACCTGAAGCGTATCGGCAAAAGTTCTGCAGATACAAAAAAGCTGAAGGACAGAGTTACAATGAATTTGGGTGAGATAAAATGGCCCTGGCCAGCCCGAAGGGATGACGTGGGCAGTCCCTCCTGTGGGCTCACCACCTGCAGAGGGGTCCGTGGTGGCGCGGTGCAGAGAGGACTGGGCAGCAGTCGAAGGTGGAGACCTCGGCGACCCGGTCCGCACACCCAACATCTGACTCTTGGGACGTGGAACGTCACCTCACGGGGGGGAAGGAGCCTGAGCTGGTGGGGGAGGTTGAGAGATACCGACTAGAGATAGTTGGCCTCACCTCCACACACAGCTTGGGCTCTAGAACCCAACTCCTTGAGAGGGGTTGGACGCTCTGGTGTTTCTCGCGGGGAGAGGCGGTGAGCTGGGGTGGCCATACTCATTGCCCCCCATCTCAGCCGCCACGTGTTGGAGTTCTCCCCGGTGAATGAGAGGGTCGTGTCCCTCCGCCTCCGGGTGGGGGACAAGTCTCTCACTGTTGTTGTGCCTACGGGCCTAACAGCAGTGCAGAGTACCCGGCCTTCTTGGAGTCCTTGGGAGGTGTGCTGGACAGTGCACCGCCCGGGAACTCCGTTATTCTCCTGGGGGACTTCAGCGCCTATGTGGGAAATGCTAGTGACACTTGGAGAGGGGTGATCGGGAAGAACGGCCCTGATCTGAACCCGAGCGGTGTTCAGTTGTTGGACTTCTGTGCCGGTCACGGTTTGTCCATCACGAACACCATGTTCCAGCAAAAGGGTGTCCACCAGGGGGCGCCAGGACCTAAGGCCGGAGGTCGACGATCGACTTTGTTGTCGTATCATCTGACCTTCGACCGCGTGTCTCGGACACTCGGGTAAAGAGAGGGGCGGAGCTGTCAACCGATCATCACCTGGTCGTGAGTTGGATCCGCTGGCAGGGAAGGAAGCCGGTCACACCTGGCAGGCCCAAGCGTGTAGTGAGGGTCTGCTTCTGTGTGTTCTCGAAGTGGATCTTCTTCTTCTTCTGATGTTTCACGGTCTGTACCAGAATCATAGTTCCTTGTCGCCTGTGATACAATGTTTCCTTTTCTTTTGACCTTTTCCAGATTCTGTTTAATTTTGAAGCTATAGCCACTCTTGGCCTCTTCTGTATCACTCTGTTTGTTGTTCTTTGACCTAAGCCTCTTAAGGTCAGCTTCTTCTTGTGCTCTTCAGAGCTTGGGTACATCTCTTTTACTGCTTGTCCTACTGTAATGGTTTGGTCATCTTCATCTTTGAGGTGATGTGTACCTTGTTGATTAATTGCAGTCAGCTGTGAATATGGATCTTTCAGAGTGTTCTGAGTCAGTGGTTCATGTTTATGTGAGAAATGTCCATCACTACTCATTGTTTCTTTCCCAGCTTTCTTGATGTCTTCATTTCCTCTGTTTAAGTCTTTTAAACGTTTCTTTGTCTCAAATTCAAACAATTGAAGTGTTCCAAGTTCAATCCGACCTTTATCTTTCCTCTTTCGACCTCTACGACCTTTGTTTTCTTTTGCTTTGTATGTAGAGATTAGAACTTTGAGAGTTTTGATGACTTCGATTGAAAGCATCCCTTTGATCGGCCAGCGACAGTCGATGTCTGACCAGCGACAGTCGATGTCTGACCAGCGACAGTCGATATCTGACCAGCGACAGTCGATATCTGACCAGCGACAGTCGATGTCTGACCAGCGACAGTCGATGTCTGACCAGCGACAGTCGATGTCTGACCAGCGACAGTCGATGTCTGACCAGCGACGATGCCATTTTTTCAAAATGTTACTGATATAATTTCTTAGTGGTAATCTTTTACCTTATTCAGTTATTTAAATCTAAACCAGACCAAAATATTAGTGCAGCATATTTCAGTAAATTCATAATTGTTTGATCATTTTTAGACCAAAGATGAATCTCTGAGCTCAGTCAGTGCCAAAGTCCTGTGTCATTTATATTAGATTGACATATTGTGCATCATCTCCCCTTTTACAAACAAGTGCATCATGGGAAACATCTGTGGTTGTTTAGAAATAAAAGGGAACACATTGGAGTGTCAGCTGCACCAGCCCCATGCATTTAATGAGTGCATTCTAAAGTCCACAGCGACCAAACTAAACTGGTCCAAAAACATACACTCCCCTCAGACAGCATCTGGGACCAAGAAAACTAAGACCCACTTTTGGACCAAGAACCACTTTTGGACCAAGAGCCACTTTTGGACCAAGAACCACTTTTGGACCAAGAGCCACTTTTGGACCAAGAACCACTTTTGGACCAAGAGCCACTTTTGGACCAAGAGCCACTTTTGGACCAAGAGCCTGTCATGGTGTGGATTTTATGTTTGTATTTTTGTTTTATTTTGAAATTGGTTATCTGTGCTTTGGCTCTAGTTGTACTTCCTGTCCTGTTTCCCCTGTCTTGATTGTCTGCCCCGCCTTGATGTATTTCACCTGTATCTCTGTCTATTTGTACCTGTGATCCTCTCTCCTTGTTGCTGGTCCATTGTATTGTTTTGGTCTTTGTCTGTGTCCTGGTTCCTTGTTCTTGTGTTTGTTTTGGATTTGGATTTAGTTTTTACCTTGGACATTATTTTTATCTTTGTTATTAAATCATTATTTTGCATTCTCGCATTTTGAGTCCTCCTCCTTCCCACCACATGACAGAACCACTTTTGGACCAAGAGCCACTTTTGGACCATCCTGTAAAGCAGTTTTCGAGAGGTAACAAGATGCTATACATTAACATTGGCTAATTCTTATTCCAGGTGCACCCCCACAGGCCCGGGGTGGTACTGCAGCATGTCAGCGCACGTCAATTTGGACTTTTTTGAGCCGGGACCCGCCCCCACTGGTTTGAACCCTCTGCAGGTGTTTTGGTTTTGACCAATGGAGCACCTTTACCAATATTTTATTTTTGTTATGATGAATTTTTTTACACATCACAAACAAACAAGATTTTACAACAACAATCCTGGTCCTCAAAAGCAGAATTATCATTTTTTTCTTGTAAGGTCAAAATGATAATGTTCATGTCAAAATATGGACACGATGCTAGCAAACATTACCCAGTCTGATGACCCAGTGGATGATCTTCTGAATGTTCTTTACTTTCCTATTGTGTCGGAGTGAAAACCCGAGTGAAAAGCCGCAGACAAAGCTTCACCTTTGGGTTAATCACAAACACACAGCTCTCGTTCCACAGACTTATGAGTAATCACCGCGTCACAAGGTAATTAACCACATTTATCTTGGAAAAATAGGCAGAGGGCAGTCAAGGGCACGGCGCCACCTGCAGGATGTATCTGGAACTGTGGACGGGCCTGCAGCGGGAAACACATGACTTTAAGATTAAGAGTGTAGTAAAACAGCTCTAAATTTAGAAGAACACCAGACTGACTACAGCGCCATTATAGTTTTATAGTCCATCGAGCCCTCCAGTTTCTTCCACTTTATCCGTTGCTGGGTCATGGGGGCAGCAGTCTGAGCAGAGACACAGACTTCCCTCTCCACAGCCACCTCCTCCAACTCATCTGGGGGAATCCTGAGGCGTTCCCAGCTGAGAGACACTGTCCCTCTGTGTCCTGGTCTCCTCCTGGTCTCCAGACACCAGGAGGAGACCAGGAAGAGACCAGGTGGCATCCCTAACCACCTCCACTGGCTCCTCTCATCACATGTGCACCCTCGGTCTTTCAAAGCCACTTGTCATTATACTTTACACCTGTTGAAGAGGGCATGTCTTAGTCGGCCATTTTGTGCTTGGGCGGAGCCACAGGTGAACCTCATCAGGAGGAGACGCACCAAAGCGACAGATTCTTGCTTTGGTCGACAATAAAGAGTTCAGTTTCCCCACGGGCGTCATAACTCCGACTTTTCTCTGTTTCTTTGTTGTTTATTTATGAGAATTCTATCATTAACTCCTTTAAACCAGAGATGTGCTGGTTACCGTAGCAACACACTGTTCACTAAGTTAGCTTTAGCCAGTTTGTCAGTTGCTGTTATAATCACAAAAGTCAAAACCTTATGCACTGCTTTATTTGAATGAATCTGGTGAAAAACTACACACACTTTGGGGGAATTCCATTGAACAGAGCCAGAATAATCCAGGGGTTGGTGTGAAGACCCGTAGCCTGCAGCCTGATGTGGTGTAATCATGTTGACAGTCTGAGCTCAAATACATCATTAATCATTCATTCATCCCTCAGTAAATGCAGCCTCTGTCATTCTGTGTTTACTCCTGATCTCTCTGCAAACACCTGGACACGGCCAGAACCACAGACTGTCGGCCAATCAGAACCACAGACTGACGGCCGATGAGAACCGCGGACTGTCGGCCGAGAACCACAGATTGTCGGCCAATCAGAACCACAGACTGTCGGCCGATCAGAACCACAGACTGACGGCCGATCGGAACCGCAGACTGTCGGCCGATCAGAACCACAGACTGACGGCCGATCGGAACCGCAGACTGTCGGCCGAGAACCACAGATTGTCGGCCGAGAACCACAGATTGTCGGCCAATCAGAACCGCAGACTGTCGGCCGATCAGAACCACAGACTGTCGGCCGATCAGAACCACAGACTGTCGGCCAATCAGAACCACAGATTGTCGGCCAATCAGAACCACAGACTGTCGGCCGATCAGAACCGCAGACTGACGGCCGATCAGAACCACAGACTGTCGGCCGATCAGAACCGCAGACTGTCGGCCGATCAGAACCGCAGACTGACGACCGATCAGAACCGCCGACTGTCGGCCGAGAACCACAGATTGTCGGCCGAGAACCACAGATTGTCGGCCAATCAGAACCACAGACTGACGGCCGATCAGAACCGCAGACTGACGGCCGTTCAGAACCGCAGACTGACGGCCGATCAGAACCACAGACTGTCGGCCGATCAGAACCACAGACTGTCGGCCGATCAGAACCGCAGACTGACGGCCGATCAGAACCACAGACTGTCGGCCGATCAGAACCGCAGACTGTTGGCCGAGAACCACAGATTGTCGGCCGAGAACCACAGATTGTCGGCCAATCAGAACCACAGACTGTCGAACGATCAGAACCGCAGACTGTCGGCCGATCAGAACCGCAGACTGTCGGCCGATCAGAACCGCAGACTGACGGCCGATCAGAACCGCAGACTGACGGCCGATCAGAACCGCCGACTGTCGGCCGAGAACCACAGATTGTCGGCCGAGAACCACAGATTGTCGGCCAATCAGAACCACAGACTGACGGCCGATCAGAACCGCAGACTGACGGCCGTTCAGAACCGCAGACTGACGGCCCATCAGAACCACAGACTGTCGGCCGATCAGAACCACAGACTGTCGGCCAATCAGAACCGCAGACTGACAGCCGATCAGAACCACAGACTGTCGGCCGATCAGAACCGCAGACTGTCGGCCGAGAACCACAGATTGTCGGCCAATCAGAACCGCAGACTGTCGGCCGATCAGAACCGCAGACTGTCGGCCGATCAGAACCGCAGACTGTCGGCCGATCAGAACCGCAGACTGTCGGCCAATCAGAACCACAGACTGACGGCCTATCAGAACCGCAGACTGACGGCCGTTCAGAACCGCAGACTGACGGCCGATCAGAACCACAGACTGTTGGCCGAGAACCACAGATTGTCGGCCGAGAACCACAGATTGTCGGCCAATCAGAACCACAGACTGTTGGCCGATCAGAACCGCAGACTGTCGGCCGATCAGAACCGCAGACTGACGGCCGATCAGAACCGCAGACTGACGGCCGATCAGAACCGCCGACTGTCGGCCGAGAACCACAGATTGTCGGCCGAGAACCACAGATTGTCGGCCAATCAGAACCATCGACTGTCGGCCAATCAGAACCATAGACTGTCGGCCAATCAGAACCGCAGACTGACGGCCGATCAGAACCACAGACTGTTGGGCGAGAACCACAGATTGTCGGCCGAGAACCACAGATTGTCGGCCAATCAGAACCACAGACTGTCGGCCGATCAGAACCGCAGACTGTCGGCCGATCAGAACCGCAGACTGTCGGCCGATCAGAACCGCAGACTGTCGGCCGATCAGAACCGCAGACTGACGGCCGATCAGAACCGCCGACTGTCGGCCGAGAACCACAGATTGTCGGCCGAGAACCACAGATTGTCGGCCGAGAACCACAGATTGTCGGCCAATCAGAACCACAGACTGACGGCCGATCAGAACCGCAGACTGACGGCCGTTCAGAACCGCAGACTGACGGCCCATCAGAACCACAGACTGTCGGCCGATCAGAACCACAGACTGTCGGCCGATCAGAACCGCAGACTGACAGCCGATCAGAACCACAGACTGTCGGCCGATCAGAACCGCAGACTGTCGGCCGAGAACCACAGATTGTCGGCCAATCAGAACCGCAGACTGTCGGCCGATCAGAACCGCAGACTGTCGGCCGATCAGAACCGCAGACTGTCGGCCGATCAGAACCGCAGACTGTCGGCCAATCAGAACCACAGACTGACGGCCGATCAGAACCGCAGACTGACGGCCGTTCAGAACCGCAGACTGACGGCCGATCAGAACCACAGACTGTCGGCCGATCAGAACCATAGACTGTCGGCCAATCAGAACCGCAGACTGACGGCCGATCAGAACCACAGACTGTAGCCGAGAACCACAGATTGTCGGCCGAGAACCACAGATTGTCGGCCAATCAGAACCACAGACTGTCGGCCGATCAGAACCGCAGACTGTCGGCCGATCAGAACCGCAGACTGTCGGCCGATCAGAACCGCAGACTGACGGCCGATCAGAACCGCAGACTGACGGCCGATCAGAACCGCCGACTGTCGGCCGAGAACCACAGATTGTCGGCCGAGAACCACAGATTGTCGGCCAATCAGAACCGCAGACTGACGGCCGTTCAGAACCGCAGACTGACGGCCCATCAGAACCACAGACTGTCGGCCGATCAGAACCGCAGACTGACAGCCGATCAGAACCACAGACTGTCGGCCGAGAACCACAGATTGTCGGCCAATCAGAACCGCAGACTGTCGGCCGATCAGAACCGCAGACTGTCGGCCGATCAGAACCTCAGACTGTCGGCCGATCAGAACCGCAGACTGTCGGCCGATCAGAACCGCAGAGGCCGATCAGAAACCGCAGACTGTCGGCCGATCAGAACCGCAGACTGTCGGCCGATCAGAACCGCAGACCGACGGCCAATCAGAACCGCAGACTGTCGGCCGATCAGAACCGCAGACTGTCGGCCGATCAGAACCGCAGACTGTCGGCCAATCAGAACCACAGACTGTCGGCCGATCAGAACCACAGACTGTCGGCCGTTCAGAACCGCAGAGGCCGATCAGAACCGCAGACTGTCGGCCAATCAGAACCGCAGACTGACGGCCAATCAGAACCGCAGACTGTCGGCCGATCAGAACCACAGACTGTCGGCCGATCAGAACCACAGACTGTCGGCCGATCAGAACCACAGACTGTCGGCCGATCAGAACCACAGACTGTCGGCCGATCAGAACCACAGACTGTCGGCCGATCAGAACCGCAGACTGTCGGCCGATCAGAACCGCAGACTGACGACCGATCAGAACCGCAGACTGTCGGCCGATCAGAACCGCAGACTGTCGGCCGAGAACCACAGATTGTCGGCCGAGAACCACAGATTATCGGCCAATCAGAACCACAGACTGTCGGCCAATCAGAACCGCAGACTGTCGGCCGATCAGAACCGCAGACTGACGACCGATCAGAACCACAGACTGTCGGCCGATCAGAACCACAGACTGTCGGCCAATCAGAACCACAGACTGTCGGTTGGTTAAAATACCTTTTTAGGTGTTTTTATGAATTATTCACATTAGAAAAGGAAAGGCTTTATTAATGTCCCAATGGAGGGATGCGCTCCTTACAGTCAGCTCTCAGAACACTCAGGCAAATATAAAGAAAAGTGGTTGTAGTAGTAGTAGTAGTAGTAGTAGTAGTAGTAGTAGTACTTGAGGCAGTGGTTGTAGTAGTAGTAGTAGTAGTAGTAGTAGTAGTAGTACTCGAGGCAGTGGTTGTAGTAGTAGTAGTAGTAGTAGCAGTACTTTAAATGGGTGCTGGTACTCTGTTTTTAGATGTATCTATTTTTTTACTTCTGCCGAGGGGAACGTTAAACTTATTTTTACCTGAAGAAGTTTTTATTTACAAACGTCAAAAGACGACCTTTTACAAAATAAATAAAACACCAAATGAAAAATACTATGCTAAATATTTTACCGAGAACTTTCTCCAGCAGGTTTTGGGCTCTATTTTTCTTGCAATTGGGGCTTGTGGACGCTGCACTTCTCCTCCCCAGTGCCACTACAACTACTATAGCACTAACTGGAGTAGTGAGAGAAACATCTGTTCATTTCTGAAGTTTTGCTGCTTGAGGTTTTCTATACATCTCAGAGCATTTGTCTTTAACTTCTGTCTCTCTTATCGGAACAAGGCCCGAGACCTGCAGAGCCTGGGTGTCCTCTGCAGAGCCTGGGTGTCCTCTGCAGAGCCTGGGTGTCCTCTGCAGAGCCTGGATGTCCTCTGCAGAGCCTGGATGTCCTCTGCAGAGCCTGGATGTCCTCTGCAGAGCCTGGGTGTCCTCTGCAGAGCCTGGATGTCCTCTGCAGAGCCTGGGTGTCCTCTGCAGAGCCTGGGTGTCCTCTGCAGAGCCTGGGTGTCCTCTGCAGAGCCTGGGTGTCCTCTGCAGAGCCTGGGTGTCCTCTGCAGAGCCTGGATGTCCTCTGCAGAGCCTGGATGTCCTCTGCAGAGCCTGGGTGTCCTCTGCAGAGCCTGGATGTCCTCTGCAGAGCCTGGGTGTCCTCTGCAGAGCCTGGATGTCCTCTGCAGAGCCTGGGTGTCCTCTGCAGAGCCTGGGTGTCCTCTGCAGAGCCTGGATGTCCTCTGCAGAGCCTGGGTGTCCTCTGCAGAGCCTGGGTGTCCTCTGCAGAGCCTGGGTGTCCTCTGCACATTCACAGGCCTGAAGGGAGAACTGGCTCAGCTCAGGGTTAGTTATAGGGAAGTAAAAGCTCAGAGAGTTTTGTATTAATATTTAATTGTAAACATAATTAAATATTGTCTTTCCATCCATTTTCTTCCCCTTAATCCATTTCTGGGTTGGGGGGGGTGGCAGTCAGAGCTGCACCCAGTCACAGAGCACCAGCCCCTCACTGATCCTCCTGCAGGTGCTGAGTCCACAGGAGCTGAGATCTGTCAGTGGGGGCTTCAGGCAAAGTGGGGTTAAGTGTCTTGCCCAAGGACACAACGACAGCAGTCATCAGTGGGAGTCGTGAAGTAGGTCTTGAGGTGGGCTCGAACCCACGACCTTCAGGCTCAAAGGCCAATGCTCTACCAACTGAGCTACTGTCGCTATCTGCCCAGTAGCTCTTAGTAAAAGGAACAATTAAATATTGTTCTTTTTTTAACTCTTGAATGCTTGGTCTTATTTCTTGTTTCTTGGTCAATTTCTATGTTTTTGACAATAAAAGAGGGTCTCTCTGTGGGTCTGAAGAGGGTCTTTCTGCGGCGGGTCTGAAGAGGGTCTCTCTGTGGGTCTGAAGAGGGTCTTTCTGCGGCGGGTCTGAAGAGGGCCTTTCTGCGGCGGGTCTGAAGAGGGTTTTTCTGCGGCGGTCTGAAGAGGGTCTTTCTGCTGCGGGTCCAGAGAGGGTCTTTCTGCGGCAGGTCTGAAGAGGGTCTGAAGCAGCTCTGAAGAGGGTCTTTCTGTGGCGGGTCTGAAGAGGGTCTTTCTGCGGCGGGTCTGAAGAGGGTCTCTCTGTGGGTCTGAAGAGGGTCTTTCTGCGGCGGGTCTGAAGAGGGCCTTTCTGCGGCGGGTCTGAAGAGGGTTTTTCTGCGGCGGTCTGAAGAGGGTCTTTCTGCTGCGGGTCCAGAGAGGGTCTTTCTGCGGCAGGTCTGAAGAGGGTCTGAAGCAGCTCTGAAGAGGGTCTTTCTGTGGCGGGTCTGAAGAGGGTCTTTCTGCGGCGGGTCTGAAGAGGGTCTTTCTGCGGGTCAGAAGAGGGTCTTTTTGCGGCGGGTCTGAAGATAGTCTTTCTGCGGCGGGTCTGAAGAGGGTCTTTCTGCAGCGGGTCTGAAGAGGGTCTTTCTGCGGCAGGTCTGAAGAGGGTCTTTCTGCGGGTCTGAAGAGAGTCTGAAGAGGGTCTTTCTGCGGCGGGTCTGAAGATGGTCTTTCTGCGGCGGGTCTGAAGAGGGTCTCTCTGTGGGTCTGAAGAGGGTCTGAAGAGGGTCTTTCTGCGGCGGGTCTGAAGATGGTCTTTCTGCGGCGGGTCTGAAGAGGGTCTCTCTGTGGGTCTGAAGAGGGTCTTTCTGCGGCGGGTGTGAAGAGGGTCTTTCTGCGGGTCTGAAGAGAGTCTTTCTGCGGCGGGTCTGAAGAGGGCCTTTCTGCGGCGGGTCTGAAGAGGGTTTTTCTGCGGCGGGTCTGAAGATGGTCTTTCTGCGGCGGGTCTGAAGATGGTCTTTCTGCGGCGGGTCTGAAGAGGATCTTTCTGCGGCGGATCTGAAGATGGTCTTTCTGCGGCGGGTCTGAAGAGGGTCTTTCTGCGGCGGGTCTGAAGAGGGTCTTTCTTTTGCGGGTCCAGAGAGGGTCTTTCTGCGACGGGTCTGAAGAGGGTCTTTCTGCGGCGGGTCTGAAGAGGGTCTTTCTGCTGCGGGTCCAGAGAGGGTCTTTCTGCGGCGGATCTGAAGATGGTCTTTCTGCGGCGGGTCTGAAGAGGGTCTTTCTGCGGCGGGTCTGAAGAGGGTCTTTCCGCGGCGGGTCTGAAGAGGGTCTTTCTTTTGCGGGTCCAGAGAGGGTCTTTCTGCGACGGGTCTGAAGAGGGTCTTTCTGCGGGTCTGAAGAGGGTCTTTCTGCGGCAGGTCTGAAGATGGTCTTTCTGCGGCGGGTCTGAAGAGGGTCTCTCTGTGGGTCTGAAGAGGGTCTTTCTGCGGGTCTGAAGAGGGTCTTTCTGCGGCGGGTCTGAAGATGGTCTTTCTGCGGCGGGTCTGAAGACGGTCTCTCTGTGGGTCTGAAGAGGGTCTTTCTGCGGGTCTGAAGAGGGTCTTTCTGCGGGGGGTCTGAAGAGGGTCTTTCTGCGGCGGGTCTGAAGTTGGTCTTTCTGCGGCGGGTCTGAAGAGGGTCTGAAGCGGGTCTGAAGAGGGTCTGAAGAGGGTCTTTGTGCGGCGGGTCTGAAGAGGGTCTTTCTGCGGCAGGTCTGAAGATGGTCTTTCTGCGGCGGGTCTGAAGAGGGTCTCTCTGTGGGTCTGAAGAGGGTCTTTCTGCGGGTCTGAAGAGGGTCTTTCTGCGGATCTGAAGAGGGTCTTTCTGCGGCGGGTCTGAAGATGGTCTTTCTGCGGCGGGTCTGAAGAGGGTCTTTCTGCGGCCGGTCTGAAGATGGTCTTTCAGTGGGTCTGAAGAGGGTCTTTCTGCGGCGGGTCTGAAGATGGTCTTTCAGTGGGTCTGAAGAGGGTCTTTCTGCGGCGGGGCTGAATATGGTCTTTCAGTGGGTCTGAAGAGGGTCTTTCTGCGGCGGGTCTGAAGATGGTCTTTCAGTGGGTCTGAAGAGGGTCTTTCTGCGGCGGGTCTGAAGAGGGTCTCTCTGTGGGTCTGAAGAGGGTCTTTCTGCGGCGGGTCTGAAGATGGTCTTTCAGTGGGTCTGAAGACGGTCTTTCTGCGGCGGGTCTGAAGAGGGTCTCTCTGTGGGTCTGAAGAGGGTCTTTATGTGGGTCTGAATAGGGTCTTTCTGCGGCGGGTCTGAAGACGGTCTTTCTGCGGCGGGTCTGAAGACGGTCTTTCTGCGGCGGGTCTGAAGATGGTCTTTCAGTGGGTCCGAAGAGGGTCTTTCTGCGACGGGTTCAGAGAGGGTCTTTCTGCGGCGGGTCTGAAGAGGGTCTTTCTGCAACGGGTTCAGAGAGGGTCTTTCTGCGGCGGTTTTGAAGAGGGTCTTTCTGCGGCGGGTCTGAAGATGGTCTTTCAGGTGGTCTGAAGACGGTCTTTTTGCGGCAGGTCTGAAGAGGGTCTTTCAGTAGGTCTGAAGACGGTCTTTTTGCAGCAGGTCTGGCGATGGTCTTTCTGCGGCGGGTCTGAAGAGGGTCTTTCAGTGGGTCTGAAGACGGTCTTTTTGTGGCAGGTCTGAAGATGGTCTTTCAGTGGGTCTGAAGAGGATCTTTCTGCGGCGGGTCTGAAGACGGTCTTTCTGCGGCGGGTCTGAAGAGGGTCTCTCTGTGGGTCTCTCTGTGGGTCTGAAGAGGGTCTTTCTGCGGGTCTGAAGAGGGTCTTTCTGCGGCGGGTCTGAAGACGGTCTTTCTGTGGCGGGTCTGAAAATGGTCTTTCAGTGGGTCCGAAGAGGGTCTTTCTGCGACGGTTCCAGAGAGGGTCTTTCTGCGGCGGGTCTGAAGAGGGTCTTTCAGTGGGTCTGAAGAGGGTCTTTCTGCGGCGGGTCTGAAGATGGTCTTTCAGGTGGTCTGAAGACGGTCTTTTTGCGGCAGGTCTGAAGATGGTCTTTCAGTGGGTCAGAAGATGGTCTTTCTGCGGCAGGTCTGAAGAGGGTCTTTCTGCGGCGGGTCCAGAGAGGGTCTTTCTGCGGCGGGTCCAGAGAGGGTCTTTCTGCGGCGGGTCTGAAGATGGGTTTTCAGTGGGTCAGAAGATGGTCTTTCTGCGGCGGGTCTGAAGAGGGTCTTTCAGTGGGTCTGAAGACGGGTTTTTTGCGGCGGGTCTGAAGAGGGTCTTTCTGCGGCGGGTCTGAAGATGGTCTTTCTGCGGTGGGTCTGAAGAGGGTCTTTCAGTGGGTCTGAAGACGGTCTTTCAGTGGGTCTGAAGACGGTTTTTTTGCGGCGGGTCTGAAGAGGGTCTTTCTGTGGCGGGTCTGAAGATGGTCTTTCTGCGGTGGGTCTGAAGAGGGTCTTTCAGTGGGTCTGAAGACGGTCTTTTTGCGGCAGGTCTGAAGATGGTCTTTCTGCGGCGGGTCTGAAGATGGTCTTTCAGTGGGTCTGAAGACGGTCTTTTTGCGGCAGGTCCGAAGAGGGTCTTTCTGCGGCGGGTCTGAAGATGGTCTTTCAGTGGGTCTGAAGAGGGTCTTTCTGCGGCAGGTCTGAAGAGGGTCTTTCAGTGGGTCTGAAGAGGGTCTTTCTGCGGCAGGTCTGAAGAGGGTCTTTCAGTGGGTCTGAAGAGGGTCTTTCAATGGGTCTGAAGACGGTCTTTTTGCGGCAGGTCTGAAGAGACCTGCAAGACCGAGGCGTGTCGTGAAGTGAGGTCAGACCAAACAAAGGCTGATGAAGAGTGTAACATCCTGATTTCATGTAAACTATAAACAATCCACAATGTCTCATTCATTATTCACAGATACCTCTAAGAAGCAAAGATTTATGGTTTTTTAACCATGAGCCACGACTTCTGACTTCTGAGCCGTGACTCACAGCTCGGGAGTCTCGGGAGTCACGGGAGTCACCGGAGTCACCGGAGTCACCGGAAGTTGCCGTGAGTCGTAAACAGTGCTTGCTCTTTCTGCTGAATCCTTCATGCTCCAACTGCCCCATTGTTTTTGTTTATTATCCTGTTAGACCGAGGTCCAGGGGAGACCGAGGTCCAGGGGAGACCGAGGTCCAGGGGAGACCGAGGTCCAGGGGAGATCGTGATCCAGGGGAGAGCGGGGTTCAGGGGAGAGCGGGGTCCAGGAGAGACCGAGGTCCAGGAGAGACCGAGGTCCAGGGGAGACCGTGATCCAGGGGAGAGCGGGGTTCAAGGGAGAGCGGGGTCAAGACAGAGAGACCAAAAATAGAGACCAGAGATAGACCAGAGACAGACCAAAGAGACACCAGAGAGAGAGACCAGAGATAAATACCAGAGAGACACCAGAGAGAGACACCAGAGAGACAGACCAGAGAGAGACCAAAAATAGAGACCAGAGATAGGCCAAAGAGAAACCAGAGAGAGAGCGAGACCAGAGACAGGGAGACCAGAGAGAGGGAGCAGAGAGAGAGTAAGACCAGAGAGAGACCAGAGAGAGAGAGACCAGAGAGAGACCAGAGGGAGAGAGACCAGAGAGAGGGCAAAACCAGAGAGAGACCAGAGAGAGAGAGACCAGAGGGAGAGAGACCAGAGAGAGACCAGAGAGAGAGTAAGACCAGAGAGAGACCAGAGAGAGGGCAAAACCAGAGAGAGACCAGAGAGAGAGAGACCAGAGAGAGACCAGAGGGAGAGAGACCAGAGAGAGGGCAAAACCAGAGAGAGACCAAAGAGAGGGCAAAACCAGAGAGAGACCAGAGAGAGGGCAAAACCAGAGAGAGACCAGAGAGAGAGAGACCAGAGGGAGAGAGACCAGAGAGAGTGATGTGTGTGTGTTCTATGATCGATAAACACCTTTCATTGTGTTATATTTTACTAACCCTGAATCCACAGAGTGTCAGTGGGAGGAGCCAGAGTTAGCATGTAGCTGCTAGCTGAAAAGACACATGTAAATTAGAGTAAAAAAGTAAGTATTCTTTATCCATTCCCCACAGTTCTATACATTTACTGCAGACACATTCACAGCTCAGAAACTATCTTTGTACATTACGAGAAATGGCAGGAAATAAGCCGTGGACTCCAGGGGCCTCGCGGAGAGAGAGGTCCCAAACACATCTTCAGAGTAAATGAGAGACGTGAATGAGACCAGTGCATTGGGACGTCTTCAATCAGGCTCCGATCCCAGCAGACCCCCAGGAGGAAGAGTCTAGACCAGAGCAGGACTACACAGGACCAGCGAGACCAGAGCAGGACTACACAGGACCAGAGAGACCAGAGCAGGACTACACAGGACCAGCGAGACCAGAGCAGGACTACACAGGACCAGCGAGACCAGAGCAGGACTACACACAGGACCAGTGAGACCAGAGCAGGACTACACAGGACCAGCGAGACCAGAGCAGGACTACACAGGACCAGCTAGACCAGAGCAGGACTACACAGGACCAGCGAGACCAGAGCAGGACTACACACAGGACCAGCGAGACCAGAGCAGGACTACACAGGACCAGCAAGACCAGAGCAGGACTACACAGGACCAGCGAGACCAGAGCAGGACTACACAGGACCAGCTAGACCAGAGCAGGACTACACACAGGACCAGTGAGACCAGAGCAGGACTACACAGGACCAGCGAGACCAGAACAGGACTACACACAGGACCAGCGAGACCAGAGCAGGACTACACAGGACCAGCGAGACCAGAGCAGGACTACACAGGACCAGCTAGACCAGAGCAGGACTACACAGGACCAGCTAGACCAGAGCAGGACTACACACAGGACCAGTGAGACCAGAGCAGGACTACACAGGACCAGCGAGACCCAAGGAGGACTACACAGGACCAGTGAGACCAGAGCAAGACTACACACAGGACCAGCGAGACCAGAGCAGGACTACACAGGACCAGTGAGACCAGAGCAGGACTACACAGGACCAGCGAGACCCAAGGAGGACTACACAGGACCAGTGAGACCAGAGCAAGACTACACACAGGACCAGCGAGACCAGAGCAGGACTACACAGGACCAGTGAGACCAGAGCAGGACTACACACAGGACCAGCGAGACCCAAGGAGGACTACACAGGACCAGCTAGACCAGAGCAGGACTACACAGGACCAGCTAGACCAGAGCAGGACTACACACAGGACCAGTGAGACCAGAGCAGGACTACACAGGACCAGCGAGACCAGAACAGGACTACACACAGGACCAGCGAGACCAGAGCAGGACTACACAGGACCAGCTAGACCAGAGCAGGACTACACAGGACCAGCTAGACCAGAGCAGGACTACACACAGGACCAGTGAGACCAGAGCAGGACTACACAGGACCAGCGAGACCAGAGCAGGACTACACAGGACCAGCTAGACCAGAGCAGGACTACACACAGGACCAGTGAGACCAGAGCAGGACTACACAGGACCAGCTAGACCAGAGCAGGACTACACACAGGACCAGTGAGACCAGAGCAGGACTACACAGGACCAGCGAGACCAGAGCAGGACTACACAACTCTGGTCTCTCTCTGGTCTCTCTCTGGTCTCTCTCTGGTCTCTTTCTGGTCTCTCTCTGGTCTCTCTCTGGTCTCTCTCTGGTCTCTCTCTAGTCTCTCTCTGGTCTCTCTCTGGTCTCTCTCTGGTCTCTCTCTAGTCTCTCTCTGGTCTCTCTCTGGTCTCTCTCTGGTCTCTCTCTGGTCTCATCCCGATCGTGCACAAACACATAAACCATCTTTAACAGAGTTTAATCCACTAGTCCCAGCTCTGCCCGACACCTGTGAGTCCCCGGGGTCCTGAGGTCTCTCTCCTGAATCGATCCGGAGCCGGTGAAGTTGTGGTGAGAGCGCCCTGCAGCTGTTTGCTCTGGGGCCGCTTCAGCCAAATGAAAGTTTGTTTTTCGAGTTTAATGGAGGAAATATTGATCGTACGAGAGATAAAGGAGGGAGGGGGGTCAGCGGGAGTGGGGGAGGGGGGGGGAGTGATATGAACTGTTGTTAGCACAGTCGGGCTCGTGCTGGTCCTCACAGGGTTCAATACAAATGTAATTAACGTTCAAATAAAGTGAAATAATAAAGTAAAAATGAAATAGAAAGAAGTATCGCCTTCAGCCAATCAGCTTCCAGCTCAGAGGGAGCCAGGAAGTACCATCACATTAGTCCCGGTCTCCGGTCTCCGCTACAAGTCTCTCTATGGTCCACAACAAAGTACATCTGTGACAATTTAGAGACACGGACAGGCCTCCTGCTGGGACTCTGAGGAGCACAGGGACTGGCCTCCTGCTGGGACTCTGAGGAGCACAGGGACTGGCCTCCTGCTGGGACTCTGAGGAGCACAGGGACTGGCCTCCTGCTGGGACTCTGAGGAGCACAGGGACTGGCCTCCTGCTGGGACTCTGAGGAGCACAGGGACTGGCCTCCTGCTGGGACTCTGAGGAGCACAGGGACTGGCCTCCTGCTGGGACTCTGAGGAGCACAGGGACTGGCCTCCTGCTGGAACTCTGAGGAGTACAGGGACTGGCCTCCTGCTGGAACTCTGAGGAGTACAGGGACTGGCCTCCTGCTAGAACTCTGAGGAGTATAGGGACTGGCCTCCTGCTGGTGAAACCTTTGTGGCCTAGGCAGCAGAGGGACTGCTGACCCCGCCTCTTGAATGCATCAGTGTCAGTTTGCGGCTCATAAATAACATGTGGAGCCGAGCGCCAACAGGGATCGATGGTGTTTGCTCAGCAGGTTCTGCACCGTCACTGTGGGGTCACCAGCAACGACCTGCCCCTGGTGACTGAGGCAGAGGCAGAGACAGAGACAGAGACAGAGACAGAGACAGAGACAGAGACAGAGACAGAGAGAGACAGAGGCAGAGACAGAGACAGGGACAGAGACAGGACAGAGGCAGAGACAGAGGCAGAGACAGAGACAGGACAGAGGCAGAGACAGAGGCAGAGCCAGAGGCAGAGGCAGAGACAGAGACAGAGACAGAGACAGGACAGAGACAGAGACAGAGACAGAGAGAGACAGAGGCAGAGACAGAGGCAGAGACAGAGACAGAGACAGAGACAGAGACAGAGAGAGACAGAGGCAGAGACAGAGACAGGGACAGAGACAGGACAGAGGCAGAGACAGAGGCAGAGACAGAGACAGGACAGAGGCAGAGACAGAGGCAGAAACAGAGGCAGAGACAGAGGCAGAGACACAGACAGAGGCAGAGACAGAGGCAGAGACAGAGGCAGAGACACAGACAGAGGCAGAGACAGAGGCAGAAACAGAGGCAGAGGCAGAGACAGAGACAGAGACAGGACAGAGGCAGAGACAGAGGCAGAGCCAGAGGCAGAGACAGAGGCAGAGACACAGACAGAGGCAGAGACAGAGGCAGAGGCAGAGACAGAGACAGAGACAGAGACAGGACAGAGGCAGAGACAGAGGCAGAGACAGAGACAGAGACAGAGACAGAGACAGAGAGAGACAGAGGCAGAGACAGAGGCAGAGACAGAGACAGAGACAGAGACAGAGACAGAGAGAGACAGAGGCAGAGACAGAGACAGGGACAGAGACAGGACAGAGGCAGAGACAGAGGCAGAGACAGAGACAGG